AACGAATGCGAGCTATGTTATTTCGAAATTAGACAGGTGCTGGCTGCTAATACTAAGTAGTAATAGTAGTAGTAGTAGTAGTAGCAGTAGTAGTAGTAGTAGTGTTAGTTTAACACTTAAAAAAGTTTCACAACAGGTACATTTAACAATGATAGATTTTGCGAAGGGCGTCGCGGAAGCTTGTTGAAAACACACACACACACACACACACACACACACACACTGCGCGCGCACAAAATAAGTAAATCATACGTCCCCTCCAGCATTGCAAAGACTCGATATTGTGATCACTGGACAACTAAGGTAACCTCATAAAAGCCCAAACGCTCAAAAGTGCCTACTGCGTACTAAATCGACGCGCAGCTGCAGAGCCACAATGCGCTTAGCATATTTCCCGCGCTTCCTGGAGACGAGGTATGCGCTTCTTGGCCCCGTTGTGATCGCGCTGGCTGCACACCAGACCGCGGCATCGCGTGGCGCCTTTCTCCAAATATTCGTACGTCCGAAATAAGGAATCGACCGCGCGATGGGCAGGTTACAGGAGCACACGGCTGCGTTAACGCACCGCGATGCCCGCTTGCATATTTTAGGGGCGAAGCTCCTTAGGGCGTGGGCTGTGCGTCCCCTGTAGCCTGTATGTAGCCACCTCTAGTTTAGTTCTTGCAGTGTTCACTAGATGGCGGTACCGTCCCCTGTATGTACCCACCTCTAGTTTAGTTCTTGCAGTGTTCACTAGATGGCGGTACCGTCTCCTGTATGTAGCCACCTCTCGTTTAGTTCTTGTAGTGTTTACTAGATGGTGGTACTTGTAGCTGATGATGAAAAGATGCAAGATGCTATAAACTAGAAAGCGGTACTTGTAGTTGATGAAAGACGCGAGATCTTATAAAATAGGAATGATGTCAAATATGGCGCGTGTCATTGGTTGAAGGCAATCGTTCGATTTAGTGCGGCGACGTACGCTAGGGGGAGCGATGTAATAAAATCGACAGAGGATTCATGGTTTACCAGGTTTACCTCCGGAGCTTCGCCCACTCATCATCATTCACTTCGTGGATATGGCGGAATTTTTTTCTTTATTCGTGTAAATATACGAAGTCCACAGATGGAAGCTTAGCGATGAGTCTCGCGTATAGAACGCGCGCTCTTTCGAACAACGCGCAACTAGACGGCAGCTAGAACGTTCCGTATGCGAGTCCAATCATTTCATATGTTTCCATACAGAATACATATGTTTCCCATGTATATATTTTCCATATATTTCCGTAAGACTCTTACAGAAACATACGGAATTATTGGACGTCGCATACGGAACGTTTCAGTAGCTAGGGGAAGGAAGTTACGGTCTCGGGGCTTTCTGGTTGCGTCATCCAGTTGTACGCTTCCGGGATTATTCATATTTAAGCTTGTACTCCGATACTGAACTACGGTCATGTCGCTTGCGTGATACAAGATGACCTACTCGCTAAGAATTCAGTGAAATCTCCGATCAGTAAATAGCGGCGTATACCTGTCCTCTGTGCATTCTAACTGCACTCGAACCCGCATATGTCGAACTCATAAAAAAGAAAAAAAAGAAGGAAAACGCGGTTAGTTTTGTATGTCGGACTATTATGTTTCAGTATACGACCGTCAACGATTTTTTTATTTTATTTTTTATATTCAAGCGAATTTAGGTGTTAAAGTTTGCTTCACGGCACCGCTTGGCAATATTATAAAAACACGCATTCACGACAGTACACGTTTTTCTTCCTCCTTTCTGATTTTGTATTTTTCCGCTGTTTGTATATAGAAATATAGAAAGGCAGAGGTACGATATACGGGAGAAAATATCTTGTAGATCTAAATAGGGCCCGAAAATATTCACATGCTGCTGAGCGTACTCGCCGGACCCTATAAGGGTGTACTCTGGCCAGGTCTGTAGCCAGAAAGGTTATCAGGGGGGGGGGGGGGGGGGCTTCAGGTGGACAGAGTGGCCTTTCTAGCCACCATAAGAGTGGCGGGAGGGGAGTGCCTTGGCTACTGGCCTGACTCTGGCTTGGCTCTAGTGTCAGCTTCGTCTTTTTAACATCGCACTTGATCAGAGCGCTGCGCGGAATGCTATACGCATGTTCTACACGTTGCTATACTGATTATCACCGCTTTTGTGGAGAACAGCAGGTTGCTCAGTTTTTTACGACATCCATACGTCGCGCTACCAAAACAAGCGGAGAAGCGAAAGGCGACCCCCCGCACTGCCATGGAGGAAGCGCACGACGATCTAGGGGGCGCAACGAACGAGGAATAATGAGAGAAGCACATGATGGCAAGCGATAGTGTCTCTATAGCCACTATAGTTTCGATTTGCTCAACGCGGCGCTCTCCAAATCGACCTCTCGATCTCCAAAATGCATGTCGGAATGTCCAGTTCCGTGAAGAAAATCGAAACATTTGTGAGGAAAAGCCGACTTCTTGCAAGGCGTGTTTCGCGCTAACCCATGTTCGATTCGATATACCAAGTGTTCCGGTTATTTAGTTCGATGTAGCCGTATATTTTTTCTATGAATTGGCATACTGCCGTGTTAGAAAGCAGTTCGATATAAATGGTAATTTGGTATACCAGTCTTCGACTGTACAACGCACTTCACGCTCGCCATACGTCACACTAATATTTATTTGAGCGATCGTTTTCCTTGACACAAGTTACTCGGCGGAAACCGTCAAAAGAGGAAAAAGCGTGCACCAAATTTACTTTGAAACTTAGAACTTATGTAGGCCCGTGTGCTCAGATTTGGTTGCACGTTAAAGAACCCCAGGTGGTCGAAATCACCGGAGCCCTCTACTACGGCGTCTCTCATAATCATATGGTGGTTTTGGGACGTTAAACCCCACATGTCAACTTAGAACTTAGTTTATGATTTTGCATTACGCTATCGTCACCACGTCTGATTTGGCACCGGTCGCGCTTGTTCGTTCAGCATCTAAACTTCGTCAGGAGATCGTTATCTTGTCTTCAAGAGATGCGTTAGCCCTTAGCTGCTGTCCATTTTGTCCGTTTTTTTTTGTCATATGGCTAACAGAATTTTCAAGGCAGTCTTAAAGGCCGTCCAAAATCTCACAAAGCAAATGCTTCGACGGCACTGCGTTCGTATCGTACAGACAAAAATTAAACTTTTCAAGCCACGAAGAAACTTGATCGACTCTTCACTCCTATTGCTCCGGCGTACACGTGTGCTCTCAGCAAAGCGGCGCGGTCCGTCACGCCAACTCCGCGCCCAAGACATCACGTGACGCCTCACAGTGAAGGCCCAAGACGCCTCACAGTGAAGGCCCATATCAAATTCGAGGGTCAGATCGATTTCGGCTGCGCTGCAGCTAGGCCCCGCGCGCCACTTCCAAAATACCGCCCTCGCAACGCGTGGTCACGTGCGCGGCCTGGTACTACAACCCGGTGCTCGCACCGGTTGGCCTAAAAGCTCGCTTTTGGCACTTCGCGCGTCGTGCGAGGCCTAAATCGGTTTCCGTTGCGTGGCGGTAAAACTGTGCAGCACGGCAGAGGAAAACATAGCGCGTGCGTGCGTCGGGCCAATCGGGCTGAGAGGCGTGCCGGCGGGCAGTGTTGGCCGTGCTCCTCGGTGTGTTACGCCAAAAAAGGTTACGCACCCGCCGCGTTTCATCTCGTCGAAAATAGAGTACAGACGACGCTCGAGTTAATACGATTGATGTTAGTAGGGTCAGCTAAATGGTATACAACTAGTGCGCTTTTACTCCTGCGACAGCATTACGGAGGACTTTAATACCTGAAGACACATAGTGATAACGCTCATCTAAATTGGCTTTAAACACAGGTCGGTGCAGCCGACACATTCAATCTAATACGTAATTTTTGGCGTTGCCTTGGGGGCCTGCAGGGTTGGCCCTGGACTTGTTTATGGGAGGGTGGGCAAGTGAGTCCTTCCGGGGAGAGAGAGCTCAAGAGGGGCAGGGCAGGCGAGAAATCAGGGGGTAGGGGACTTGAGTTAGGGGCCGCCGCCCGTGACCTCTGCTGGCCGAGCCACTTCCAGGGGGACAGGACCCTCACCCCTAGAATTTTTTTAAAGTTTTGCGTGCGCGTGCGATGTAGGTGTATACATGCACACATACTCGTCCGAACGTACATAAAGTACATACAGGGTGGTTGAACCACACCCCTTCATTACCCCTCGCCCACTCCCCCCCCCCCCCCAAAAAAAAAAGTCGGATTATACGCTCCTCTTGTCCAATATAATGCCATTCTTCGTGTTTGAATGCTCACGAATAGAAGTGTACTGAGTCTACCAGCATAAATGAAAGAAATATAAGATGAAAGAAATATAAGATGCAGTATTGTGAGTCATAGAAAGGTCAAAGGAGTTCAACCCCCTCCCCCATGTGGTCAGGTAGGGGGGACGAACACACCTTGAAAGTGCCTGCCCCTCTCACCCTTGAAATTTCTCTTTCAAACATTTTATATCTGAATGGCTTGAAAGTTACATAGAGGACAGTAGACTTTGTAAATGCCTGTCTTTTTTGTAGCATGTACTGGTAGCACATATTGGTGTTAAAGATGCAAATGCACATTTATTTTAAATTTGGTTTCGAAGTACAATTTTAATTTTTGCATCAGTAAAAATAAAACCTGCAACATTTATGAAACAGAATGGTCGCCATAGCAAGATGTGTGTCACCCCTTGGGATTTTTTTTTTTTGTATTTACTCCAGTGTTTGCATGGCTCCGATGATAGTCACTTGATCGGTTTACTGCATGTGTAGGTTTGATTTCTCCACAAAATTCTAATAGTTCCCTAAGCGGTGCCTTGCTTAAATTTCCATCAAGCATTGGCGAGGCACAACCCAAAACCGAAGTTTACGCCTTCCTGTATGCTTTACACCAAACCCTCATTTGCTATTCTATTCCTTCTTTCCAGCTCACAGTGTCTGATTTCATTTCACTCAAAACACAGTATGCTCAAAAGGAATGGTCGGTTTCTTATTCACTGCAGCCACCTGTGGAGAAACCACAATGGCAGCAGCAGGATGCCAAGCACAGCAAACTCCACCATCAGCTGTGGCGATCGAAGATGCCAAGGGCTCCATGATTGCACAGTTCTACCAGGACCAAGTGGTCTTCCTCACAGGAGGAACAGGGTTCATTGGAAAGGTGAGCCACATCTCTCAGTTTTATAGATTGACATTTTACTTATTTCAGATGAGTCTAGAATTACTGACACCTGTTGTCCATTCTTCTGATATCATGATATACGTTACATTCATTTGGCCACTCTAGAGAGAAATTAAATTGCTCCCTGTGAGACATCTGTGAGAAGGTGTTTATGAGATTTTTTAATTGTTGAAACATTCCAGTAATCAATCAGATTTTCGGTTTGATTCACAGTTAAAGTAATTAGAATATGCCGAATAATGTCCTCTTAACTCTTTCATTACCAGACCTATTCAAATTGATCACCAGTGATCGATGCTTTCGGATTATTGGTTTTAGCATGTTACATTTGTTTCTCCTGCACCCAGCACTTTCCAGTAGTTAGTCTAGCTGCTCAACTTTCAGAATCAATTTGAATTGTTTTGACAACATAGTGATATTTGACATACCTTTTTGTGAACCAATGTGTGTGTATTGTTGGGAAAGTGCATTAGGCTGGTGAACTTTACAGAAGTTTGTGCTCCTTGTGATTATGGTACAGTAACATCAAAGTTCTGTAGCATCGTTCAAAGGGAGTTCGCCTTGACTGAGAGTTATCGAGTAGCACACACAAATACCTAAACAGCTCATACTGCTTGCAGGCAATGTCGACGCCACTCTGACCATGTGACTCGATCGGCTTAATATTCGGAACACATAATGCTGTTCAGTTAGAAGCAAGTTTTGAGCTAGACTGTCTCTTCTGCACTTTCCATTTAAGACCTTAGCATGCTGATTTGTGAGGCTCATAGCAAAGAAGGTGCTCTGATAATTTCTCATTGCATCACCAGAAAATATTTATACACAGCAGTTGTTGTGCACTGTGAAGTCACTGCTGCAAGCACCAGTGAGATCTGCTTAAAACACATTTCTCTAAGTTCATCGAGACTAGAGTCACCGAAATGCTTCCATGTGGTCTGTCAAGTCTGATTCAACCCTGTTTGCACCTATCTTCTACTTTAGCTTGATATAGTTAAGCTCCACTGAACTGGTTCATGGAAAGACATGATCAAAACAAGAGATTTTTAAAAAGAACTTCTTTCTGGGAACAGTTCTTCTTTTTTGCTGATTTAGATACACAAAAATGGAACTCAAGTACCACTCTTGTTCTCATGGTATACAATCTACACATTTTGAGCCTCTGGTTTTAATTTAATGACTCGATGGTTTCACTGCAAACATGTTTCAGGTTCTGCTGGAAAAACTGCTTCGGTCATGTCCTGGTGTGAAGCAGGTCTACCTACTGGTGCGAGGCAAGAGTGGGGAAGGACCCGAAGCCAGGCTTGAAACAATGCTCAAATCTAAGGTAATTTTCATACCCTGCATAATGGCCATTTCACATGATGCAATCAATGGAAATTAAAAGACTGCTGTAGATGATTCCCTAAGTATTGCATGTAACATCTTAGTAGTGTGCTTTTATGTCGCTATGAGTACTGTGGTAACTGCTGAGCCTTCTCAGAATATTTCTTTTAAATTTCTGACACTTTTTCACAGCGAAAGTTGTTATGAGATCACAAGAAGGATCGCGTGCAGTGCTGTAGTTGTCCGTTTCCACCAGTGTCTTCAACTACTATAGCACGAAACAACAAAAAAAAAGTTTTGCAAATAAAAAATTGGCCCCGTATCTGCATTTAATCTGCAAATGTTGTCGAAAGATGATAGTCTTGCGTGTGGAGAGAGTGAACAAAACATTTATTTGATGTTCCGCTGAAGAAAATCGGTGAATGGTATTCTGGAGGCGCTGCGTTAGAGTGTCTTGAGCGTGCAGCAGAGGCGAACGAGCGCATCAAGTCACGTCACACGTGAGACATGACCGCCATCTGGCAGTTTTTTTTCAAAAACAAAGCGCGTGGCTCTGAGACGGGTGTGCGCGCTTGCCTCAGAGGTGATAAGATAGATGTAGAACGCAAGGCGACGGGTAGGTGCCACCACCGTCTCGTTTTAGCAAAGCGTTGGAAACACTCACCTTTCCGTGCAAGCGTTGGATGGTCAGCGCAGCGTGATAAGCGCTACGGTCCTTAAAATTACTTATGTATACCTTTTCTAGTAAAAGGCCCACATGCAGAATATATACGTGTTGTTATGGTGCCCCAGACATGCGCAATAGTTGCTTTTTAATCGACTATTGCATAAGTGTGAATGCTGAATCTTGGGCGCTGCAGATCGGGTCGGCCGTTTCAAATATTCGATGCTGTTGAGAGTGGACAAACAGACAAATGTACAGACAGACAGACAGACCAAAATTTTTGCTTCGAAGGTCCCCAAGAAAGACTATTGTCTTTAAAAACACCAAGGATCCAATAGAATTTGAACACAAGTCCCCCGTGTGCCAGCCCAGTATTCTAATACTGAGCCACGCCAGTGTTTGGGACTCCTTTACAAACTGGCCTTAGGCAGGCTTGATGTCGGGAAAGCAGTCACGTTAATATTGTCACGACGAGTCACAAGTTATATGAGTAATAAAGTGTTTTAGAACAACAAAGGGACAACCAGGTATCACATAATGCGAATTGCTTAACGAGCGGTTCATCGAATGCTCCAACCACATAAAGCTTGATCTTGTTCACCTTTTAACTGTGGCGCATACCCACTGTTGGGGATTGTGCTCTGGATTACAAAAGCTTCTGCCATCATTCTTCATCCTCGCCTGCCACAGCATAAAAAAATTGCACAAAGTTCATTGCAAGAGTGCAGCAGGTAAAGAAGGACGAAGGGTGGCATAGTGAATGGCTGCCCACTACACAATTATTGATGGTGCAGTGGGTACCCTGCAGCTGTGCTTACAGCAGCTACCCAAAGAGCAATAAAAAAAAGGCTCGGAAAGGCAGCTCTTCCAGTTTTCGCTGGGGCAGTGCTGCGTGTTACGCGTAGGCCTGGTGGTTTTTCTTCTGAGACGAGCCGTTTGCACATCTTGTTTTTGTGAGGTTCAGCTTTTAGTCAATGCTGACTAGCACAGTGATTTCAGTTCATAAAACTCATTAAAAAAAAGGGGGAGGGGCAATCAATAGGCTATCACCATCTTTGCTTGGCGCTAGATGATGATGTAAATAACAATAGGAACCACTTATTAATTTGATTTTACCAAATTAAGCCACCCTGTAAAAATATGCTAGTTACTGATCACATACTCAGAACAAACTAGTGGGAATTTCATACAGATCCTCAGGATAGCTGAATTTGTTCTGATCAACCCATAGACAAGCTGTGTCAGTTTCTGTGGCCATTTCATCTAGCTTCATGGTAGTGCGAATAAGCCTTGCATTTGCACCAACTAAGCCCCCATAGCAGTTTTACTTGTGCCAAGTGCTTCAGCTTCTTCTGACAAAGCTGCCTGCTTGTTTGGTTGCATTCATTTATCCATTATACTGAGTCTAACCACTGGAAATAAAATCACAGCAATTTCATACCTACAGTAAATGAAATAAAACCATATATTGCACATAATCTCTTGCTTGCACTTCCTGTGAGCTGCACCTCTCAAGTCTAGTGCCTGATTACTGTGCTGCTGCATTAGTGTTTCACCACCACATGCAGTGTTTATGCTGTAAATTGGTCTACTGTGATACCACTGAATAAAATATAATGTGTTCACTTATTATGGTCTTTGGCAGAAAAGTTTGTTATCATTAAATCCACCGTGTGTGGTTGAGTGCAGTTCCATGTGATTTATGTTGTTTGTCAACTTGCCTCCAGGGTCGCTCGGGTTGATGCCAGTGCATATTTCATAGCCACCAGAACGTTGTGAAGCATCGTTTTGCTTGGAACTTCCATAAGACAATAGGTGGTATGCTGATTGTACAAGTGCAGAACATCATGATATCTATTTTATCAGATAACACACAACTCACTGTAGCTGTTCTTTTTCTTTAACAGGTGTTTGAGCGCCTTAAGCAAGAACAACCAGGTGCCCTTGAAAAAGTACGGGCAGTAGCAGGAGACCTGACTCAGCCGAACTTGGGGCTCAGCACAACTGACCAGGCTACCTTAGTTGCGAACGTCTCAGTTGTCTTCCACTCAGCTGCCACAGTCAAATTTGACGAGCCTCTCAAGTGAGCACTTTTGAAAGCTATAGGAATACTATTAACAGGCTATCCATGCATAAAAAGTTACAGAGCTTTTGTGAGGTGTTAAAGTACAGAATGTAAATAGTAAGGTAGCTCAATATCATTTGTAGTTCTCTATGCACTTTAGGCATTAGAAACTTGTCAAGCGACTTTCTTGTGGAAGCTTACATTGCTTATTAGCATAGAGAGGTCACTGAGGCTTTTAGGCGGCCTTTTATTTGGTATTGGCAAAATACAGTTGGTAAAGGAACCTTATAAAATGTACAAGCATAGAAAATTGGGCAAGTTGGGTTTGGTTCGTGACGACGTATATCGTTGTGTGCAAACATGGCAAGAAAGGGACAGAGTAGAAGAAGAGCGCTGACTACTAACTGACATTTATTTTGCAAAAAAGAAAAAATGGATGTGTAGAAAATTATTCTAAATGAATGACTGTCTTTTGATGACTGGATCATGCTGTGTAACTTATCATTACTTGAAGTGGTAAAGCTTATGCATATTCAAGCATAAGCTCCACCGGTGTGATGCATGAAAATTGGAGTGGCTCAGAGTCTGATGCGCGACTTGTTAATTTCTGTTTCAGACGGGCGGTTCAGCTCAATGTTCTGGGTACACGGCGTGTAGTGGACCTTTGTAAACAAATGCCAAACCTTTGTGTGAGTCACTACACAATTTATCAAAGATTGACTGTTCAGCTTTGAATTGTGTAAATTTTTTATTACTAGATGCATAATGTATGCTTTATTGTGCTTGCTGTTTGGCATCACATTGTACACAATTCTACTTGCTGTTATATCACTGTGTGCTTTCTTTCAGGCTCTTGTACATGTATCGACAGCATATTGCAACTGTGATAAACCAGAAGTAGATGAGGTGATATACCCCCCACCTGTAGATCCCCAAAAATTATAGAAGCTGCTCAGTAAGTATTTCTGCAAGTGAGGTTTTCTCTATCACATTTTCTCAACTAAATCATTGTGTTTACGTAGTGATATCGTTTGATATAGCACAATTTGAATTTTTAGATGAGAGAACCACGAGTGCTCAAATATGAGCATTGTTTGAAAATGCAAGTGACAAGATGTGTGCTGTAAAAGCTAGGAAGCTGTATTTTCCTTTTGGCCAAAAACCAAAAAGCCATATATCCCCTGAAGAATGAGTCTTTTTAATGCAAAGTTGCCCGCCACATATGATGGTCATGCTGTGCAGCCAAATTCATCAAGGGAAAGGTGCACGCAATACTGTATGAAATGCTGCCATGATCTGCTTGTGTGGCCATGTCGTAATCAAAGCTTTCACCTTTAGTATTACTACTATTACCGCTGACATTACCATCACTATCATCACCATACCTCAAGTCCACGGCAAGGCTTGGGCCTTTTCCAAGCATAGCAATCTGATGGGTAGCCATATTTTTTTTTTTTAAAGGGGGGATGGTTGAGGGAAGAGGGAAGGTTGACCATACTTTATGTATGTTTGTGCATGTGTGCACACACATACATATGTGTCATGTGTGTATGCGTGCCTGTATATACTACATGCAAAATTGAAAAATTTTGAGGAAGCAGATTGAACCTCCAACCTTCCCCCCTTGGCTACACCAATGATAGAAAAACGAAGGGCCACCCAGTGGTTAATAATTGCCTAACATTATCATTCTGTTTGACTTGGTGCTTCCAACAACTCTTTTCCCCAAATGTGTCAGTTGCGCATCTGTAGCACTGTTGAATCAGTACTTCTAAAAGTATAGCAAACACGCGAAGATTTTTTTGCTCATAGTATCGCCGCGTGACGAGTCGGTGGTAACCAACAGCAGAGCGTACTGAATTCCTCTGCAGGTGGATGGATGATAAGATGATGGACACTATGAGTGGATTCCTACTCGGGCAGCGGCCAAACACCTACACCCTTACCAAGGCGCTAGCCGAGTCACTGGTGCTTGACGAGAGAGAAAAGCTACCAGTCGCCATAGTCCGGCCTTCCATTGTCACTGCCTCATGGCGGGAGCCCTTCCCAGTAAGAGGCACCTAGCATTACTCGCAGTCATTAGAAACCGTGTGGTAGCCTTCAACTGTCTTCTTCTCATAAGAATGGAACCTATGGATTGAATCATAGCATACTGTTGTTCCTAATTCAGCTGAAACACCAACACTTATCGCTCAAAAGCTTCTGTAAACAATTGACATGAGTTAATTTTTCCTCTCTTTCTTTCCAGGGTTGGGTAGACAACTACAACGGCTTCACTGGTATCATAGTCTCGGTATGTATTGACTGTTCAAACAAGAGTACATCAGCTTGTGCTTCTTATGAATATTGATATCAGTTTAACTCGTTTATTTTCAGTGTGGGCTCGGCTTGTTGCAGTCGGTAATTGTCGAAAAAGATCGTATAGCTGATGTCATTCCTGTGGATGTTGTGGCTAACATGCTCATCTCTGTCGCCTGGCACACTGCCACAACAAGGTACGGATGGAAACTGCATTCTTACACTCTCACGCAGCACGTCCATTCATTTTTTGTGGCCTGAAGGCTTTTGTTTTGTGAACTGTGTACAGCGCTGCGATATATATGGGGGGGGGGGGGGAGCAGGGGGGCTTAGTGCACCAGTGGGTTGTTATGTGTAAATCAATGCATGCAACTGCTAAATGTGAAAATCAGCCGTCTGGGGAAAAAAAGAACAGCTGGATGAAGCTGATAATCATAAGTGGCTTATCATAAGTGCAACCCACTCTGAAAATATTTGTATGCCTCATGTAACAAGTGACATATTTTTATGTCCTGGCCAGTGGCGGATCCAGAAAGGGTGCGGTAGGGGCGGTAATTTTTTATAGTTCTTTGAATCAACTGCATTTATGAATAGATGCTTAATGTATTACATTGTTGCTATACGTTTTCATACCCAGATCATGGCTCACCGATAAGTTGCATAAGTTACCTGCGTGAATGATGCAAAGCTTACGCACCTGTGAAGTCATTCTTGTTCACCAGAAAATTGCAACATCCAGCTTGTAATTTGAACAAACAATCAATACCTTTTTCCAAGGAGATTGTTTCTGCACCACAAGAAATAGGTGAATTTTCATAAACATACACTGGAATTAACCACCGCATTCCGCACGTGATGCTTGTTAAACTGAACAAGTGTATAAAGAGAATAAAAGCAGAGTGCAAGTTAGTAGCGCTGGTTGTATTTTTGAGCACTTAAGCAATGCCAAAACAGCCGTTTTTACTATCACAGGATGCTTAGCAAGAGAGAGAAAAAAAATGAAAAGTATGTAGTGAAGCCACCATAAATGTGCAAGCTCACCATACGTCAAGAATTTCAATCACGTCCACTTGGGCGTAGTAAATTTTTATCAAAGATGAGTGTATTTTAAAGCAACCAAACTGTGTGCTTGACAAGTTTCCAGAAAATTACTGCACAAGTACAGAACGAATTAGAAAATGTTTCAATATCTATAACATCACATCGACCTACCAATGCTGGGGTATAGGTGGGACATTTAGGTAAATGAAGGATGAATTTTATTTTACCTTCCTGTTGTCAATCTCCCGCCATAATATTAAGTAGGATAGAGTTTCGAAAGGACAGTTTATTAGTCTAAGTGAACTTACTATTTTTCATTGCTATGTATAATCTTGGGTTGAATGGGTATGTGAGCATGCCAAGCATTGCATGATTTCTTTTTGCAGGCCAGAACATGTTAGGGTCTACCACTGTACTAGTGGTACCTTACAGCGACAGACTTGGGGCGAGGTGACTGCGACGACGCAGAAGCTAATTGTTCGGCACCCACTGCCCCACGTCATGCGCTTCCCGAAGGTTGCTCTGACCAACAGTGCAGCGTGGCACAGTCTCAACTTGTACTGCCTCCATTACCTGCCTGCATGCATAGGAGACCTTGCTTTGCAGTTGATAGGACGCAAGCCCAGGTCAGTAACTAATAATTGTGTTTACTGAAGTTCATAAACAGGATCAACACGGCTAAACCTCATTAATAAAGATATTATGAGCGCGACAAGCGAATGACTCTTTATTCTCTTTGATATCATCATCACCTGTACATCTTCTTCATCTGAAATTATCATCACCAACGTGATTTAGCTCGAGCCTGGCTGAATAAAACCGGTTCCTCACAAGTGGTGGACTGTGCTTTTCGTTCCCCCAAGTCCTCTCGCCCGTTCTCGCTGGAGCTCCGCTCGGGTTGTCGCATACAACCCCCTGCCATGGCGGCCCAAGAAAACCCTGGCCTATCCAACGTCGCCGTCCTACTGCAGCCACCGCCACCCGCTCCGCCCAACAACACTCGCCTGCGTGGTCCACCTGTGTTTTCCAGTCTCCGAGGCAATGATGTCGAAGACTGGATCAAGAACTGCAACCTCGTCAGCGATTTGAACAGGTGGGACAATCCACAGAAGCTGCGCACCGTCCCATTTTACTTGTCCGATGTTGCGAAAACTTGGTTCTGGAACCACCACCCGGATCTTCCCGACTGGGACACTTTCGAGCAGCAAATTCGTCAGATATTTGGTGCCCCTGCAGTTCGCACGGAGGCAGCAAAGAAGAAACTCGCTGAACGCACGCTGCTGCCGGGTGAATCTTACACCTCTTATATTGAGGATGTCCTTGCACTGTGCAAGCGCGTTAACTCCAGCATGTCTCAGAACGACCAAATACGCCACATTATTAAAGGCATTAACACCGTCGCCTTTAACGCCCTCGCCACGCAAAATCCTGCGACCACCCAGGACGTGATAACCATTTGTCAGCGACTTGACGAGCTTCAGTCTCTTCGCCTTTGCTACGATGCCACCGACGTTCGTTTGCCTGCACTCCGACTTGCGTGCGCTTATTCGCGACATCGTTCGTGAAGAGCTGCACGGGCGCTGCTCTTCCTGTGCTGCAAAAGTTACTTTCCCTTCTGAAAAAGATAGCTTGCGAGACCTGATTAAACAAGAGATCGCCTCCGCATCGCGTGCGACGTGTTCCAACAGTCCCTGGGTGCGCCAGACGCGCACATACGCTGAAGTTGCCGCACTCTCTGCCGCACCCACCGTTTCTGTGCCTACAACAGCAGACCATACGTCTGTGGCTTCGTTATCACCGCCAGCACGTGCACCACCTTACTGCACTCCTCGACTTGCGTGCGCTTATTCGCGACATCGTTCGTGAAGAGCTGCACGGGCGCTGCTCTTCCTGTGCTGCAAAAGTTACTTTCCCTTCCGAAAAAGATAGCTTGCGAGACCTGATTAAACAAGAGATCGCCTCCGCATCGCGTGCGACGTGTTCCAACAGTCCCTGGGTGCGCCAGACGCGCACGTACGCTGAAGTTGCCGCGCTCTCTGCCGCACCCACCGTTTCTGTGCCTACAACAGCAGACCATACGCCTGTGGCTTCGTTATCACCGCCAGCACGTGCACCACCTTACTACGCACCTCAGCGCCCACCTCGACCAATCTGTTACCACTGTGGCTATCGAGGACATATCGCTCGGTTTTGCCGAAGGCGCCAACAAGACGAGCAACGCGGCTACGCTCCCGAAGAACATCGAAGCTTCTGTCCGACCATGAACTACCTACGACCACCCTCCCGATCGTCCTATTACTGTTCACAGTCGCCTACTTACCATACGGACATGCCTGGAAATTCCCGTACGTCTCGCCGCAGGTCGCCTTCGCCAGGTCGCCGTTCAGTGTCGCCTCTACGGCCCGCCTCCCATTCCACGAACGCCCACGCGGAAAACTCCCCAATGCAGTTTTAGGAGGGGAAACTGCATCCCTTGGACAGCTAACAATTCTTCCAGAGCGGCCATCGAATTTGATAGTAGTGTTTGTAGAAGGTGTACGTGTTGAGGCTCTTGTAGATACTGGCGCTGCCGTTTCGATTATTCGTGCTGATTTTTGTTCCCGCCTTCGAAAAGTCACCACACCTTATGGCGGCTCACCTCTACGTGCGGCGACCAACGCTCTCATTCGTCCACTTTCACAGTGTACCGTTCGTGTCTGCATAGAAGGCATTCGTCATCACATTGTTTTCGCGGTATTTCGTGAGTGCACCCACGCTCTCATTCTTGGGTGGGATTTCTTGTCTTCTGCGTCCGCTTTCATATCATGTCATCAGCGCCTACTGCATCTAAATGCCACTGACTTTTCTCCGCTTGAACACGATGGACGCATCCGCCTTGTCACCAAGTCAGATTATGTACTTCGGTCATACATCGAAGAAATTATAAGTGTTAATTGCACCGACATTGTGGATGGCGACGTACTAATTCTCCCTTACGGTCATACCCTACGTAGGGGCATTGTGATCACACCAGGGCTTATTCGCTTCTTCGATGGGTCTACGTATTTAACCGCCATAAATCAAACGCGCGAGTGTGTACTGCTCCCCTGTGGTTCAACAGTATCTTGCGCCGTCGACAGTGAGCCTGTTGCGATTGTTACTCTTCCGAACACAACAACCACAACGATGTTCCGAAGTCACAATCACTGCCATTCAATGCCTCTGCCACACCTGTGTCCACAACAATAAGTAATGACTTAACACCTGATTAAACTGAAGATTTGCTCGCCCTGTTAAATAGACACCGTTCTCTATTTGAAGTGAACTCGCCCGCCCTCAGCATGACTACCACCGCTACTCACAGCATCCAGACTGACGGCTCTCGTATTGTACATCGGCGTCCATATCCGTGTCTCAGGCAGAACGCAAGATCATCGAGCAAAACGTCTCAGACATGCTACGACGCAACATCATACGTCCTTCTTCGAGTTCCTGGTCATCCCCAGTTGTTCTCGTTCAAAAGAAAGATGGGACAGTGCGTTTCTGCATCGATTACCGTGCGCTAAACAAAATAACGCGCAAGGATGTTTATCTCTTCCCTCGGATCGACGATGCACTGGATTCATTACAGGGCGCAGAATATTTTTCTAGCCTCGACCTTAGGTCAGGCTACTGGCAGATACCAATGTCAGAGTCTGATAAAGAGAAGACCGCCTTTTCAACGCCAGATGGGTTGTACGAGTTCAATGTGATGCCTTTTGGACTCTGTGATGCGCCCGCCACCTTCGAACGCATGATAGACGGCGTATTGCGTGGTTTGAAATGGAAAACATGTCTGTGCTATCTCGATGACATAGTAGTGTTTTCATCCACGTTCTCGCAGCATCTACAACGTCTTGACGAAGTCCTCACATGCCTTGCAAAAGCCGGTCTACAGCTTAACACCAAGAAATGTATCTTTGCTAGCAAGACAATCAAGGTTCTCGGCCACCTTGTCAGCAAAGAAGGAATTCGGCCCGACCCCGAGCAGCTGGCCGCTGTCCTCGATTTTCCTCGTCCACTACGTCAAAAGGACCTGCGCAGCTTTCTTGGGTTATCTTCTTACTTCCGGCGCTTCATACGTGGTTTCGCGGAACTTGCATCTCCGCTCCATCAACTCCTCGCAAAGAACGTCCCCTTCATTTGGTCCGAAGACTGCGAAAGCACTTTCACGGCATTGAAGCAAGCCCTCACGTCGGATCCGGTACTGTGCCACTTCAATTCCGCCGCACCCACCACCTTCACATCGACGCAAGTAGTCATTGTCTTGGTGCGGTACTCTTGCAGAGTGAAAAAAACTCACGTGGACGCGTCGTTGCTTACGCAAGTCGTGCTCTTACCGCTCCAGAAAAGAACTACACTATCACCGAGCAGGAGTGCCTTGCAGTTGTTTGGGCAGTGCAAAGATTCAGACCATATCTTCACGGCCGTCATTTTACCGTCGTGACCAACCATAACGCCCTATGCTGGCTTTCATCGCTGAAAAACTTATCGGGTCGCCTCGGTCGCTGGGCGCTTCGCTTGCAGGAGTATGATTTCGATGTCACCTAGAGATCTGGGAAGAAGCATCAAGATGCTGATGCTCTATCGCGCTGTCCTTTTCCCAGCGGAAGCCACTCACCATTGATACTCCAAAACGACTGCACCTCTCCAATTGCAGCGCTAAGTTCATCACCTGCCACCCTATCCGTCCTTGTTTCACAACAACGTGTCGACCCATACTGCCACACCATTGTTGACCGCTTGACCGGCTCTACTAATCCTCCAAACGCCAGACTCCGTCGACAACTTAAACAATTTAAGCTTGTCGGTGATGCTTTATGTCGCTACATTTACCACATCGGTGGCAACAAGTGGGTACCCGTCATCCCAAGTTCTCTGCAACGTGAAGTTCTGGAAGCCTTTCATGATGATCCAACCGCCGCTCATCTAGGCTATCACAAGACTTACGACAAAATACGAAGTCGTTGTTTTTGGCCTGGCCTCTCTTCAGCCGTCGCTAAGTACGTCGCCTCCTGTGTCCATTGCCAACGGCGAAAACGACCGACAACTGCTCCGGCTGGCTTAATGCAACCTCTTCCTTGTCCCGCCTCGCCTTTTGAAGTCGTTGGAATCGACTTGTATGGCCCTCTTCCTATATCATCCAATGAGAATCGCTGGATTGTCACTGCCGTCGACCACCTTACCCGCTACGCAGAAACAGCTTCTATACCATCTGGGACTGCCACTGAGATCGCCGATTTCTTTCTTCGCCACATCTTTTTGCATCATGGAGCTCTACGCATTCTCCTCAGTGATCGTGGCAAAGTCTTCCTATCTTCCATTGTTGAGCAAGTTTTGCGTGCCTCAAACACTGTTCACAAGACCACTTCTAGCTACCACCCGCAGACCAACGGATTGACTGAACGGTTTTATCGGACCCTATCGGACATGATCGCCATGTACATTCACCCCAACCACACGAACTGGGATGCGATTCTACCCTTCGTGACATTCGCCTATAATACGGCTGCTCAACGCACTACCGGCTTTTCTCCATTTTTTCTCGTCCATGGTCGCTCGCCGAGTTTCGCTCTGGATGTCTCTTTCCTTTCGGCCCCTGCACCCTCGACGGCTCCTTTCTCTGAAGAATTCTTATCTCGTCTCGCACACTGCCGTCACCAGGCCCGTGTTAACATCGGCCTCTCTCAAGACACTCGAAAATCTCGCTACGACTCGTCTCGCCGTGTTGTGAGTCTTTCCCCTGGTGACGAAGTTCTTCTATGGACTCCACTACGCGTCCCCAGCCTATACGACAAATTCATCAGTCGCTCTATTGGGCCGTACACGGTGGTCGAACAGACATCTCCTGTCAATTACCGCGTTTCTCCTCTTAGCGCTAGTCCTGATCATCGTTGCCGAGGAACAGAGATAGTGCACGTTTCTCGTTTAAAGCCTTATGCGCGACGCATTTCATAATGCTGTCAAGCGACCAGGCGGCCACTTTCACCGCGCGGGGGAATTAGTGTGAGCGCGACAAGCGAATGACTCTTTATTCTCTTTGATATCATCATCACCTGTACATCTTCTTCATCTGAAAATATCATCACCAGCGGGATTTAGCTTGAGCCTGGCTGAATAAAACCGGTTCCTCACAATACTTATAGAAGAGAAAGCTGAAGCAGGAGGTAGGCTTTATGAGCACAAACATAGGAATTGGAACTACCGAAAATTTTGTTATCCTATTAATACCAATAAATGAGTTCTGGCATATTGAATAGAAAAACAAATATACGAAACCTGGACTGTATGTACAAAAGGTGTAATGGATGAGCACCGCTACCTTGTGCTTCTGTACATGATTTCTCAGGCTTGCATGTCGTGAAGTCAAGTTAGCAAGTCCTGAAATGCTGAATGCAGCCTTAAAGCTATTTTCATGAATATGAGTCGGCTGTGGTGCCGGTAATTTAGCTATTAGAGATAGAGATAGTGGCACTTGAAATGAATATGCAGAATAGTCTACAGACAATCAATAAAGTAACTGGGATAGTGCTGCTTTTTTTTCAGCCACCCTGCAGGTTTTGAAATAAGCAGTGTTATATCTCTCTCGCTCCATTTAGTTCTGCCTATGCATACTATATGTATTGTTGTGTTGAGCTTATGCTTGTCCTTTTTACATCTTCCTTACCATGTATGCCCTAATGACCCCTCAATGCTTTCTAAAACAAATAGTATAAAATGTTTTTTCTCCAATTACCTCCTGCCACATTACAGATTCATATCCCTCTATCACAAGGTTCGTAAGGGCATCGATGTTGTGCAGTATTTTACAACTAACGGCTGGCTGTTCCGATCAAACAATGTGGTGGCGCTCGTGGATGAGCTCTCCTCGACAGATAAGCAAGTACGCCTCGCTTTCATCTTTCAGCTTGCTAACTGTGTGGACAAGATGCTCTTGCAGTGCCCGTATCTTCAACATGTTCTCAAACAACACATCGAGGAACAGTTGCCAGACAGGGCTTCAAAAAGAGGACCATATAATTTGCAGAAGTGGCATTTAGGCTAGAATAATTTCATTTTATTAAACATGTATGTTTTCAGGAGTAGTTATTAGTTTTGTATTAGTGTAAATGGATTATGAGGCTCGATTTTGTACTTTGTAAAGGAGTCCATACAATTTCATTTTATTAAACATGTATGTTTTCAGGAGTAGTTATTAGTTTTGTATTAGTGTAAATGGATTATGAGGCTCGATTTTGTACTTTGTAAAGGAGTCCATACCATCTTTTAACATATAAAGGTGCCATCGTGCATCTAGTGTCCTACCCCTGTATGTAGTATTTATTAAAGCCATGAATGAGTTTTTTTTTTTTCACATACACCATTTGCATAGATCTTTCAAAATAACAAGTGCATTTCCAGTCATTGTCGAAGAAACATCCTCCTAGGTGGAACAATTTATAGTTTCTAAGGCCCTACAGAGTGCATCAATGTTTGAATGGTCATGAAACATATTCATGATGGTGTGTTGTGGTACAGCGTCCTTTGAAAGACGTGTTGCTGGAGAGGTGACATGAACTTTCACGAATGTTCTCATGCAATTGAATAAAGTGTTTTAATGCAGTGTCATTTAAAAAAAGCTTAAAATATCGGATTATAACCCTTCTAATACGTTTCTTGTGAGACTGCGAAAAAGAAATGCAGTAGCCAGAAAATGTACAACACTAAAATGTTAAAAAAGTGCATATAAAAACAGGTGTGCATCGCACACAGCTCCACCAAACAAAAACTTATTCATCAGTTAGAGGTTTAAAGAAGTCCTCGGTGGGAGACTGGACTTTCTTTTGCACCTCTGCCAGAACAAAGCCCCTCTCCAAAACCTGGATGGCCTTGTGGCTGTCTACACTGCCACACTCATTGGCACGCCTCCCAAGCACTCATCCAACACAGTGACGGTTCACAACGTATCAGACAGGAATGTTCTAGGAATAGTGTTTGAAAAAAAAAAAAAAAAGGGGGGGGGGGGGGGTAGCACATCTGATGCGTTATTAAAAGGTTGTAGGTTAAGTCTCTGCCTACGGCAACTTGATTTTAAATTAAGTTTCATTCTTTTTCATTTAAGTCATAATTATGGTGCTACATTCAAAACATGCATATTATGTACCCTGTACCCTCTGTAGCTTGGTTTGTCCTTAGTTTCATCAGGTTGCGTCAAACAAAGAAGCGAGCCCTTGATCAATCTCTCTGTGTTGTTCATGGGCGTCTGTAGGTTCTCTGTTGAGACTAACAACAGAAACATTATTACGAGACAATAACGTGTAAACGAGGAACAGTGTAAATGGGGTTGTGTTCTATTGCTCTTGTTACTAAAAAAAAATATATTGCATATATGCATCCTCTATCCTCCGCTGAAACACCACCTGGTTGCTGAGAAGTGATGTATACTCAAACCTCGTTGTAACAAAGCCGAACATAACGAAGTAGTGGTTATAACAAAGTAATTAAAAAATAGTCTTGCAGTATATAGTGTGAGAAATAAACCTTTATAATGAATTTTTGGATATAACAAACTTATTTTTATGTAAGATGCAACTTTGTTATAATGATGTTTGAGCCTACATACATAATATATTACAAAACTCGTTTCCTTCATTGGGCCGATGAGATTGAGAAGTTTTCAGGTATAACGTGGCAGGAGAAAGCACGAGACTGGGTTGATTGGCGGATCATGGGACAGGCCCTGCAGTGGGTGTAGTCAGGCTGATGATGACTGAAAAAAGAAATTTTTCCTTCCACTAAGAAGTATGTAAAGTGGACATATAAACAATAACATTGTTTACGAAAACTACTTTGCCAGCATAGCGCTATGAGCAATTGTAAGGGGAATACAAACGCACAACCTGGGCAGCAGAACTCAAAGCTGGCTTACGTTTTTACATTGTGAAATGGTGTTCTTTAGTTTGCACATCAGTTGAGGACAGACTTGCAGCATTTCACAAATCATTTCCCGTAACTTTGGGTATCAATATTAGTGAAAAGCATTCTGTGACAGAAGCACAAGTCCAACACTTGATTCTTTGAATTAATTCTAAGGTAGGAGAGCCACATATAATAAGACATAAGATATATATTACAGAGCAACACCAGGCTTTTATTTTTCTAAGTAGAATTTCAAACAATTTTTTTTATAGTTAGGGGCAGGCAGAGCTTGCATTTTTCCTGTTAGTATGCAAGGGTACTTTCTCGTGAAAATAAAGCACAGATAAATTTCGGCTTGTTGCCTGGTTGTTTATGTGAGACCTTTTTGTTAAAGTGAGCAGATGCTTGCACACACCACACTCCTGCATGTGTGTAATTTTGGTTTGTGAGGGTACAAAAGGACCTCCTTTCTTTTGCAGTTATTCAACTTTGATGTGCGAAACCTCGAATGGTACTTGTACTGGGAACAGTACATATTGGGCATTCGCAAGTACCTCTTCAAGGCTGAAGTCTCCAAGCTCCCAGAAGCGCGAAAACACATGAAGTGGTAAGTTGATTCAAATCACAAACCTCGTTATTAAAAGCTTCATATAAATAAGAAACTGTCTTAGATGCAAGATAAAAAATCCCAAAGAAAAACAGCAGTAAATTTTACTTTACATTTCAAGCCCACATTTCTTTATAACACATAAAATTTTTAGCTAACATTATCGTGGTTTGCATATTTCGTAGCTTTAATTTTACAAACCTGTGGTTTAGATCTAAACAGGCAATATCAAGTAAGGCTTCAACAGAAGCTTGTCAGCATGACATTGTTCAGTTTTCTGCTTGGTATTTTTCACACAAACGAATAAATAAATTAAATGAACATACGTGTGGGCTCTGCTTTTTCATTTAATTAATTTCACTCATTGTGTAAAAAATAGTGTATGGCAATTTTAAAAAGTCAAATAAATGCACGTTAATTAATTAATAAGACAAAACTAGTTAATAAGTTAATTATTGATTACCTTATAAATTCCATCCTCTATTGTAAACCATATGTGGCAGACACTGTCACGACCTAATTTCTGTTTCATTGTGTTTTAACAGTGACATGCGTACATTTTTAATGTTTCTCGGTATAGTATATCTTTTTTATTCCTAGCCACCAAAGCAAGGTTTAAAATGAACCAGAAGACATCAGAGATTTCATGAATGCTTACATGTTTTTCTTGGCTGAAGTTTATCAAATAAAGAGCCATATTCATACTACTATTAAAGTTTTGTCACTATTTGCCCTTTGCTATTACTATATCATGAAACTATCATAATCAATAAATTAAAGTGTTATTTACTATGTTACTGGGAAAAGTTCATAGAAATATATTAACTGATAGCCTAACTGTGCAGTAACAAGCTAAATACAATTACTGGCAGTACTGTATGAACAATGACTAGCAGTACATACAAAGAACTGTTAATTATGAACCATAGTGTGTATCCGAGATGGTGGACACCATAGTGGCCTCCGAAATGGTGGGCGAGTCGACACGCCGCATCTCGCCATCACAGAGGCCATGCTTTTTACCAATCAGTGTTTTACCAACAGAGAACGATGGAAACATTACAGTAAAAGTAGCAGGATAGGCATTACAATGGAGCAAGTCTGGTGCCCCCTGTGTTGCTTAATTAAATGTAGAAGGCACAAGTAACAGATTACACGATAAGTGCCTACTAAAGAAAAAGTTTGGCAAATGTTCTTCAGCTTTCTACAAAAAAAACATGATATTCTCGTGTTTCTGTTCGATGCTATCACTTTGCAGTGATCTGTTGGCACTGTTTGTGGGAATGTGGCACTCCATATGAAGCAGTAACTTGTACGAGGTACTACCCTCACAAAGCAGTGACAGTACGTGAACAGTAAGACAGCACATGACCTCTGAAGCTCACACAGTAATCCTGCTCTGGGTAGACACCAGTGAAGCCTGTCAAAAAGGGCTAGAGCCGAAATATGTACACATGTACACTGAGTGGCTTACTTACATGCTTGCTCTTTACACTTTGCACAGCCACCTCATAAAAAAAATAAAAAAAGCTATTGCATACTAAAATGCACAGAGATATGCTGATATGTTCATGAGGATATGCTATTTTTTCATTACATAGCACACAGAACAATATATTACACCAAGAATTGAGACTATCTCGAAAAAAGGAGAGTGAAATTTCATCATTGCCCAAAACCTATGTTCCGTCATGAGGTTGTGTTTCACAAATATACTTTATGATAATGTTTCTCTCTCTCACTTTATTTCACCTTGTCTTTCATTATAGGCTTTATATCATGCACTTGTGTCTCAACCTGCTTGTGGTCACATTTGTGTGGCGACTGCTCATGACACGGTCGCAGACTGCGCGAAACCTCTGCTACTTCATGCTGACCTTTGCCATGAGGTTGTGCAAGATGCTGCCCTCCCTGCGTACCCTGTGATCTCGGCTGTCACAGATGATGCGGTGACAACTGTTCAGTGCAAGATGACGTGCACCAACAACGACCACGGCTGCTGAAAACTGCCCAGCTGCCCCAGTGGCCACAGAGACTGTTTCAAATGGCCACTCTTTCCCACCATTCCTCTTGCTCCTGGCCATGCATACCCCTACGCATTTGTCACTCGAGGAACTAAATACCCTGGCAGCTTCAAGTGAACATGGCTATGTGAATCCTATATGGCAACTCAAAATGAATGAGGTGTTGCTGCTGTCACTTAGGTCACTATTGAAAACACTTTCCACTTCATGGGCACTTTGTATTTGCATACACTGTATGTGCTCAGATTAGCCGAGCACACATGCGCAGACATGGTCTTTACACAGTGTTTACAATACTACATAAAATATTTACTATCTCAGCAGTCTGTAACTAGCTGGACTTTCCATGCCAACGCTATTATTCACTGCAGTCCAAGCACAGCTTTACCATGCTGCAATATTGACAAAATGCTGCTTGTAGCTGGCTTTCTCGGCAAGTTGCACACTGTGAATTACATTGCAGTGGAACCGTATAGGGAAGTTGAGGCTCTCTACCTTATAGGCAGCCTCTCCAATTTTCCCCACGCTTATACAAACTATCATTAATCATGATAGGTGTAGAATTGCTATGTTAAAACTAAGGAGAACAGTTATTCTTTCGTTGACACCTTAAACATACCGAGGGCCAAAATTTGTAACAATTCTTCACTGTTTTTATTATTGCTGCCCTCTTTCATGCACTCACACAAAGCTGCACCCTTGCCATTGCCAGTATCAGGTGCTTGATGTGATAGATAAGAAATGAATAGAATGAGAGGTGAAGAGTCCTCACAAAATGTGGCCCCAGATTTACCATTTCTTGGCATTCTTTGAAAATAGTAGTTTCTCTTGCTAGCTCTCAGTCAACAGTAATTGAGCTTAGCAGTACGTACTTCCTGCATCTTGAAAACGTGTGCATGTATCTTTTTTTTTTTGGCATCTCAATGGTGGCGCATAAAAAATGTGATAAGCTTGCGTTGCCCGAATGATTTTAGGATAGTTTCAAACAGTGTAAACTTTCCAATGCACTACAGTGTCTCCTTGTTCTTTGTTGGCTTTTTTTTTGTCAAATGTTGGTTTCTTGCACCTGCATGAATAATACAACTGATCTTTTTTAAGGTGATACAAGATTATACAATCACAAAATGTAGGAATGCTGTTCATTGCAAGTTTATATATAAGCCTTTTTTTTTTTCATGCTGACATGTGGAGGTGTCAATGATTACTTGGGAGAGTTGTCTTATTTTTCAGTGAGCATAGAATGTTGTTGGCATTAAATATACAAAGCTTTAAATTGGAGGCCTAGTCATACTCTTTTTTTTTTAAGTCTGCATTCTGTGTCTGCAATACAAGCTTTCATTGGTGAATACTAAGCTTGTTCTGAAGCATGGGGATGCAGCGGCAATTTTTCAGCTCCTTGCAGAGTGAACAGCGACAATTGTTGGCAAAGCAAGAACGCTTGTCTCAGATTCCGCATCAACTTTTATACATCAGTAAGACCTTAGCAACATTTTTTAAACTGCCAATTGTTTCGAGTGCAATAGTAGCGGAATTTCGGTTTTTACTCAACTGCCTAGAGCAGCGTGACGCATACATATTCTCCCGAATGCCGTGTATCTTAGTTGCAAATGTACAGCTTTATATAGCCTAACATATTTCACACCGTGTTGGTTCCTCAGCCCTAATCACTCTAGACGAGACCAATGCCACCCGCTGTCTCAGTGCTTTGCAGCCAGTGCCTTGAGTCTGCAGTTGCTGGAAGATAACACTCCCCGTCCCTGACGGTGCCACCTGCACCCCCATCCCCCTGCAGAGACTGGCTATGCATAATGAGTAGTGGTGCTTGTGTGCATCGAGTGTCTGGCTTTGAACTGAAAAGACGCGATTATGCTTAGCTTGCAAAAGGAGCGCGGTCACGCCACGTGCAGTCGACGGGGTAACAAGTCAGAGGAAGAGCACAGCGACCTACCCAATGCCTAGGCCACTTCAGTGTGCCACCTCAAATTCTGCAGCAGTTCAAGTAACTCAAGTATCCGGTTGGTCCCAACAAATGGTTCAGTTCAGCAAAATATTGTTTCTGCTGCTGCACATCATTTGCTTGTGATAGTCTGCTGCTGCACATCATTTGCTTCTGATTTATCAGTGCTGTGCAACTAGTCTGGTGTTTATTTTAGCAGGACCCATGTTTTGAATATGGCTTTTTACGGAAGCTGAAGGGCATTAAACAATGACCTACGTAAAGCTAACCTTCTCAAAGGCTACTTGTCAAGTAAGAGGTTCTGCCTCTTAACTGGTGCTGCATCTTGCAAGATCAATGTCAAGAGACTCACCATCAGAGCAGCAAATCAAGCTTGGGAAGACAATGTGGCACAGCACAACAGAAAGCACTTGTCAACTGTAGACTATTGTATAAATGCGGTCAATAGAAGACCACATTCAAATGTTAAATAGTACTATTTCCTTTCCCAGATGTATATTACTTTAAAATCTCCTAAAAAGAAAAAAAGCCTGCCACTGATGACTACATCAAGCAATAGACAGGCAGCTACATTGTTCACCTATAATGGTCAGTGCACAATGGTCGTGCTTGGTATGCTAATGGGCAACTAGTTGTTTTGCTAAAATATGGAAACCTTTGTACAAGCTGCACTTTAAGCAAGCAAACTGCTTTCGCCACCTTGCAGGCTGCTGTTTTATGTACATGGTACCACTCTGCACTTTTTAAGAATGGCTGACACTATATAACGCACAGAGTCAGCTCATAAAAAACTTCGAAGTGCTTGGTCTCAGCACAGATGTGTCTGCAACATGGAGGAGGTGGGGAAGCACTACATTTAGCTTGTGAAGTCATTGTACATTCCTTACTGCCCATCGAATGCCATAATAATGTTTGCCACGTAGTTAGTTTTGGCTGCTCCATTTCACCCCTTTCTACGGTATACCGGCCCCGAGCAATTCCCGACGTGCCAGCTGGCACGACGAATGTGCACAAACAGGGAACTTGTACCTTGCTCTGATGCTGTATTCCTCTAGGATATCTTTTTGCAATTAAACAACACAGTGGTCATCTGTGCGTCGGTATGACCGAGATGTCGCTTTTTCTTAAATATTTCTTAGTGCCAAAGTGTACAATGGGAGAACGAGTCGGTGCATAGCAAAGGCACTAGTTTATGATGCAGGACAAAGATACAGAGAACGTGAGATTGCCTATGTCGCTAAATTCTAGCATGGTAGTCAAGCTTTTTAGAACAAGCATCCTTTTTGGGGGCTACTTACAAGGCTGCGCACAGCTGTAAAAATATACAGTGCAGACACTGTCATCACAAATTGAAATAAAATCTTGCAAAGGTGAAGAACTCTCTCCTCACTTTCTTATTGTACAGTGACCTTTAGCCACACAGTTTAATGATGTGGCAATTTTTACTTCTCCGAACCATGTGCAGATGTAGTCGTTGTGTGATCACCACTCTGTGCAACATTATACATTGTGTCCTCAATATCACACATCACAATTTTAAACAAAAGGAAGACCATTACGCAAAGCACGCCGCTTGCATGTTCTCCCCAGCATGCTGAAGCAGCCGCTAGTCATCTTTTGTTAATGAGGTATAGGTAATTAGTTCTAAGTATATTTCTAAATCAACAAATACTCACTTGTTATTAAAATGTCAATAAGGCATATATGTAGGCACGTTCAAATGATATCCGACTGCCCTCTTTTCAACAACATACTGAATGCATGCTCACTTTTTTGGCTAATAAAAAAAAAGCCCACAAAATCTGGAAATTGACAAGCGACTGTGTATCATGCGTCCTCCTTCTAACATCCTCCTTCTAACAGGATCACTGTGAGGTAGCAAGTCAAGAGTATGACCTCACCTTTTACAGGTGGGAGTGTAGTCACCAGTTGTCTTTCGTAATTTGACTGCTTTCATTATCAGCAAAAAAATAAGATAAAGGAGAGCACGTAATTGCTGAAATTAGCGCAGTTAGATGTCATTTGAGCATGCCTACACAGGCCTCATTGGCATTCTAATGATTAGATGAGTACTTGTAGAATTGGAAATATAATTACGACCAATTCACTGAACATCAAACAAAAAATTAGTAGTGGCTACTACAGTATAAGGAAGGAAAACAAGACAACCACTTAGACAACAACCCTATCTTAGCCCTCCCGCCACTTGGCGGGTTTCCGCAGAAATCATTTGCAACTACTACAGTATACTCGAAACAATATGCAGTGTACTTTGCGTAATGTCACTCTCATTTTCTTTTCAATTGTTTGCATGATATTTGGGACACCCTGTATCGTGAAACATCTGTGAACTACTGAGGTGGTTTACAAACTCTGAGGTGCCTACAGTCATTATGAAAAGAGGTTTCATGTGAAATGTAAGAAATAAAACAAACCAGAAATTAGTCTCGGAGACCAAAAAGTAGACTATAACTTGGTGACACCTTATTTTGGCAGTGGAGGTTATAGAGGTGGGGCTTCTGTGAACTCATGTTACTCCACAAGTACGGTACAGCGGCTTGCGGCTGATTTTGTTTTGCTCACTTATATTGTCACGTTTCTCACGACAAACTTGATACAATGGGCTCGTTGAGTCGACTAGCCAAGCAGCAGCTCAGATAGACCGTCTTCGTCCTCTTTCACTCATCGATCTCACCCAAGCAAACCATGTGGCAATATCCCCACCTTTGAAAGCATCGACTCGATGCTCGTAAAGAAAAAAAAAATGAAGGCATACACACGCAGATAAAGAGAACCAAAAGAGGGAGAGTGCCAGTACTCGCAGCGCAAATGAGGAAGTTTCGTCAACGCTTGCACCAAGCGCAAAAAGAAAAGGCATAAAAACACAGGAGAACACAAACAGCACCAGCAACGCAAAGTCACGGTATGTCGTAGCACGTGAAACCACAAGGGCTACTTTGTGAAGTAGGGCTTCAGCCGAACTACATGCATGGTTTTCGGCCGAAGCTGTCGGCGAGAAGACGCTGCGCCGTTCGGAAATACCTCGTAGGTAACATCTGTGACACGTCTAAGAACCTTGTACGGTCCAAATAACGGCTTAAAAGTTTTTTGGATAAGCCTGGTTGCCGGACAGGGATCCACACCCACACTCAGTCCCCAGGGTGGTAGGTGACGTTTCGATGGCAGAGGTTGTAATGTCGTGCATCTGCATCTTGTTGATGACTGGTGTTTATGCGAGCTAGCTGACGAGCTTCTTCGGCGTATTGAGTGTATTGCTCAGCGTCTTGAGCAAAGTCATTGCTTTGGTCGCATGGAAGCACAGCATCGAGCATGGTTGGCACGTTGCGTCCATAAACAAGTCGGAAAGGCAGCAATCGCGTTGTTTCTTGCGTTGCCGTATTGTAAGCAAACGTGATGTATGGAAGAACCTCGTCCCAGGTTTTGTATCGTACGTCCACGTACATTGACAGCATGTCCGCTATGGTCTTGCTAAGCCTCTCTGTCAGTCCATTCGATTGTGGGTGATAAGCCGTTGTTTTTCGATGACTTGTGCAGCTCAATTTAAAAATGTCCTCCATCATTCCTGCTGTAAACGACGTCCCTCTGTCCGTAATCGCGCATGACGGGGCACCATGCCATAGGACGATTTGGTGCACCAAGAACTGCGGGACTTCAGAGGCCGTGCCACGGGGTAACGCTTTTGTTTCAGCATAACGAGTAAGATAGCCTGTCGCAACTATAATCCATTTGTTCCCAGAGGACGACAAAGGGAAGGGCCCGAGAAGGTCCATTCCCACGAGGTCAAACGGTGTCCGTGGTGGTGCGATCGGCAGGAGCAGGTCCGCGGGTGTCACAGGCGGAGTCTTGCGGCGCTGGCACTCATGGCAGCCTTTCACATGTCGATGTACACTAGTTGATAGTCGCGGCCAGTAATACTGTTGGCGTACTCTGATGAGAGTTCGCGAATAGTCCAAATGTCCTGACATGGGCTCGTCGTGGCACGCAAGGAGGATCTCATCACGCATGTCAATAGGAACGAGTAGGAAGGCTTTGTCGCTACCACGGGCGTTTTTCTTGTAAAGAATGCCTCTTCTTAGACAAAAAGAGGGCAGTTTGTGAGCAATTTGTTGAGGGACCTGAGCGTTGCGGCCTTCCAGGGAATCAATGACTGGGCATAATTCGTCGTCTGCCCGCTGTTTTGAGATAAATTCGGAATCGCTAACTGCTCCGAGAAAGGCATCTTCATCCTCGGAGCCCCTGACAGCGTGCTTCACCGGCGCTCGAGAAAGCGCGTCGGCGTCTTCGTGTTTGCGCCCTGACCTGTACACAATCGTAATACCGAACTCCTGCAAACGCAAACTTCACCAAGCGAGACGGCCGGATGGATCTCCGAGATTTGCCAGCCAGCAGAGCGAGCGGTGGTCAGTCACCACTTTGAAGGGACGGTCTGTCTTTTCAAAGTGGTCTGTCACCACTTTGAAGGGACGGCCGTAGAGGTAAGGCCGAAATTTCGTCGTCGCCCACACGACTGCGAGGCATTCTTTTTCTGACGTAGAATAGTTGGCCTTGGCTCGAGAAAGAGTACGACTAGCGTAAGCTATCACATGCTCAACGCCGCCGTGTCGTTGTACAAGGGCAGCGCCAAGTCCGACGTTGCTGGCATCTGTATGAATTTCTGTAGCAGCGTCTTCATCAAAATGGACAAGAACAGGGGCTGTTTGCATTCTTTGTCGTAGCTCTGTGAACGCTGTATCTTGTTCTGCGCCCCAAATAAAGGGCACATCATCTCAGGTGAGTCGCGTAAGAGGTTCAGCTATCTTCGAGAAGTTGGCGATAAATCGGCGATAATATGCGCACAAGCCGAGGAAACGGCGTACTGCTCTTTTATCTGACGGAACAGGGAAGGCGGCGACAGTAGCAGTTTTGTCTGGATCAGGTCGCACTCCATCCGCACCAATGACATGTCCCAGAAATTTCAGCTCTTCATAGCCGAAATGGCATTTTTGGGGTTTCAGCGTGAGTTCAGCTGTGCGAATGGCTTCCAGAACCTTTCTCAGATGCTTCAGATGTTCTTCGAAGCTCTCCGAAAAGATGACCACATCATCGAGGTAGACAAGGCAGCTTTGACACTTCAAGCCAGCAAAAACTGTGTCCATCATCCTCTGAAAAGTGGCTGGTGCAGAACAGAGGCCTAAGAGAAGAACTCGGAATTCGTAAAGTCCGCCTGGAGTCACAAAAGCGATTTTTTCTCGGTCTCGTTCATCCACTTCGATTTGCCAATAGCCACTCTTTAGATCGATGGACGAAAAATACTTCGCGCGTCGTAACCTGCCGATAGAGTCGTCGACCCGTGGAAGCGGGTACACGTCTTTTTTGTGACGCTATTAAGCTTCCTGTAGTCAATACAGAATCGCGTTCCGTTCTTTTATCTTCACTAGAACGACTGGCGAAGACCAAGGGCTGCTCGATGGTTGAATAATCCCGTCATCGAGCATCTCTTTTACTTGTGTCCTGAATAGCGTCGCTTTCTTTGGCAGAAACGCGATAAGGCTGCTGCCGGATGGGGCGGACGTCATCATCGGTAATAATTCGATGCTTCGTGGGGTGTGTTTGATGGACTTTGGAAGAAAGAGACGAAGCAAGATTCGAAACTCCCTTAAAAGGTCATGAAGTGTAGCCTTTCTCTCATCTGACAGCGTCGAGTCAATGTCGATGTGGTCTAGAAATTCCTCATCCTCATGCGTCTCCTCGGACGCGAAGCACTCGTGATGTCGGCAACAGGGTCTCCATAAGCTAGGGTGGTTCCGCAGGAAAAGATGCCAGGTGCTCGTAATTGAAGTTCGTAACTAGTATCGTTGACTGTCCGTCACGGACATGCACAACACTTCGGGCGGCGCATACACCTTGGAGCAGCAGAAGTGATAGGTTGCTTTCAGCCACCACGTCACCGTCTTGGAGGTCTTCACAAGTGACTTCGATGGGAACAGTCTTTCGAGGTGGCAGCGTCACACTGTCGTCAGCAACACGCAGCGCAGGTCTACGGCAGTTATCAGCGTTTCAATCTGTTGCGCCTTGAGTCGAGAAGGTCACGATGCGCTCATGAAGATTTATGATGGCACCTTGTTCCCGAAGGCCACTGCCTTCAGTTTTCCCGACGAGGGCTTGGGGAGTGTTCCTGTGCCGTCACCCCGAAACGTGGCCCAGTGGCTGCGGGTCTCCTCCGAGATGGTGACCTCGATTGCCGTCGTGTAAAGGGTGCACGCTGTTGCGCGAGATACTCTTCGATATCCCTTGGCCTTTGACCAATTTGGGGACAAGGGGAATTGACGGAAAATCTCCGCAGTCCAAGTTGCCGGTATGGGCATTCGCCATAAA